CCATTTCTCAGTGTCTCTGAGCCCAGCTTAGGTGTCTTATGCAAGATCAGTCTTTAGTCAAACACAAGCCATGTTTTAAGTGATAGAAAGCTCTTGAGCTCAGCAGGCAGGACATCGAAGAGCCTTGGCTATCCCGGAGGTCAAACCAGATGGTCTGACAGATACTTCTGGCTGTGAACTGTACGCATCTGAGCCTGGAGAGTGCCTATCTTTAACAAAATATTGCTGTATTGCTGCCTCTTTTGGGAAAGCAGAATGATCAGGACATTTCATTGATTTGACTGTTTTCATTACATATTTTTTGATCTTGCTTTTTGGGTGGTGTTACTGTTATTGCTGTTTGCATTTTCTATAGCATGCTCCTGGGCAGACAGAAAGCTTGCTTCCTAAGGAGTCTGCAGCCTTGGAGCCATCAGAGAAACTGCATTAATTTGAAGGGAGTGCTTATGTTGAAGAGACGAGCGTGGCTCAAGAGGGGTTTTCAGTTTCAAGTCAGGCTGGAAAAAGAAAAGGTCATGATATGAGGAGAGGAAGAAGGTTTTGAGTTTACAGAGCTTGGGTGATAAAAAATATTTGCAGCGATGTTTCTAATCATTAGATCTATTGTGAATCAGTTTTGAAAAACTTTGCAGAAATGAGTTTCCAGAGTAAATGAGGAATTAAAAGACATTCAGCACTGCAGCTTATACAGCAATTGCCTTTTCCAGCTATGTTTGGAGACAGAGGTATGGCTTTCAATAATAGTCCATATAGTCTTTTTTATTATCTCATCAGAATAGCAGCAAGGGGTGCTATTTAACTAAAGGCTCCTGAACTGTGAGACATCTGAAGCAGAAAGCTAGCATTTGGCTAGATGAGAATAGTTATATGTGCCCAACAAGTGGAGGGAGAATTGGGGTGGACTAGTGCAAATCTGTGAACTATGATGTCCCAAGGAAGAAGTTTGCAAGAGGTACCAGCCTCAACTCCGCTGATCACAACCTGCCGTCAAAGCAAGAATTCCTCTTCATGTAATACGGGTTTGCATTCATCAGCTTCTCACCATTGTGAGCTGCAACATTTCCGAGTATCTGAATTTGTACTGTCTAGCTTAACCTCTAATTTTGAAAAGAGAAATGAAATTCTTGCAAAGCTGCTGGTCCCTGAACTAAATAGGATTGAAATCTTTGCTTTCCGTTTTCAATGCCATCACTTGTTACAGTAAGTGCTGTTGGCCAACATTGTAATTTTCCCACTCTTCCTATGAATTTAGGAGGTCAGTGCTGTTGTGGATTGTGCAACACAGCTGCAACCACTTCTTCTCAGCAATTCAGTACTGAATGCTTTCATCTGGGTCCTTGTCAAAAATGTCATCAGAACTTCCTCAGATGATGGCGGATCAATCCGTAACGACATCTGTAACAAGAACTACGTGTGGCTTCAGTTCCCTGTCAAGCCTATCTAAATGACGCTGAGATAGGAAATACCCTGTGATGGCAAGATGGCTAACATCCACAATTTTTTGGAGTATCTCATATTTTTTAGAGGTTTGCTTTCAAAAAACTACTCTGCAGGATTATCTGAAGATCTCAATTGTTAGTTTTAGAAGTGAATATTTTAGCTCTTATGGTTATAGGTATGGGAGAATTCCTGGAGAATTAAAAAACAGAGGACTAACAAAAAGAACAGGGTGTTTGTTATTTTTGAGCTGATCTCATGATTTCTGGTTTCCTGATTCATGATTCTGTCATGTTGATGGTAATATGGGTGTCATGTAATGGAAATGAACAGTCCCTCCGCTATTTCTGCTTCTGCCTAAATAGTCCTATTTTTTAAAGTACACAACTCCATTACTGGTTGCTGGGACTAATCACACAAATAAATTATAGTTTTATAGGGAAATGTTATCCCCTGTGTCCTGAGCCTGCCTCTAATGTGGCTACAGTGTTTAGGGATGATTTCTTTTTAATGTGAAAACTGCAGGCTCAAAAAGGAAGAAATTTAATTCTGGGCAGTCTCCAGCTTCTGCTCTCACTTACTTGTTCCTGAGTTTTTTTGGTGAGGATGAGGAAACAATGAGCCTCAATTGTGATGTGAATTTGAAAAACAGAGAACTGGTACAGTTTTGCTTGCCTAACTGCTGCGGTAAGAGAAGCCTTGTTTCCAGAGCCTGGAATGTATTTCAGATGTGCCAGGGGAGGGAACATAACGATATTGCTTCCAACTACTGCTTGAATGATGTCCCAAGTTCCTCTATCACCCGCTTCCAGTCCCAATAAAAATTGAACATGAATAACGGTAGTGGATACCACATCATTTCAAACCCCAAGTGCAAGACATGCTTCCTGAATGCGGATGTTATAAAAAAACCAAAATGAGGAAGAGTGCATTACCATGGAAAATAGAATTAAAAAACAGAATAAAGGAGAGCATATAAACCCGTTCTAACCACTCACGCAAAGAGAAAATATTCACAGCTAGAGCAAGGCTCCAGATAAGAACTCTCCTCACCTTGCAAAGATATTCGCAGAAGTTTTGGGGTTTTCTTTTACTCATTGAGCTTGGACCATACGTAACGCTAGCCCATACACATCCAGTGCTTTGACATGAAAATTTGCCTGTCCAGGCTTTTAGCTCTCCCTCTGCAGAGAGGACTTGTGGGACACTTCTATCCAGAACCTTTAGCAATTGTTGTTTGACTCAGTACTTGACCCAAGGACAGTCTTTCAGTTTGTAAAGGTCTCAGACACAGGGGAACATTGCTTTTAAAATCCCTGGGAGGAGATGTGTTCAAAATCAAGCCCATACTAGGTTGTTTTGGTTGGTCCTAGAGAATTTTTCTGTATGTCATCTGATCTCAGTACTCTCTTTCCATACCAAACTTAGCCTTTTAATAAGGCAACTTTAGAATTTCCATAGAAACTGCCATTTTCAAAATTTGTGAATCTTTCAGAATTTGGGAAACTGAAGGCCTTTAACTTCTTATGGTTTTCTTTTGTTTTGTTTTAAATGAATGCCATTTAGAGGTACTGGATACTTGATAAAACATGCTGAGCACATTCAGATCTGATGTTGAAGAACATATTTGCCAGAATAGTGGATAAATATTGTGCAATCCTAGATCTACTTTCTCTGCTATACCAAGGAGGCACATAATTCCTTGCTCCAAATGAAAAGCAGGGAAGCAGCTCTTCTGAGGGAAGCGTGCGTGCCATGTTATCACTTTTCCAGTCTCACTCATCCTAATTCTGGTGAACATGCTCTTCCACAGGCCAGGCAAAAAAGCAACGTTCTCATTCTGTGTCTGGGAGACACACCCACACACAGAGATACTGTCATCAAGGATATTTTTCTTTCTCTCTCATGACCAGCTGAGTCAGTGCACCTAATCAGCAGCTGGCAAATGTCGTGCCTTACAAACACAAAATAGGCCACCACAAATCCCACTTGAGGAGAAAGCCCATTGCTCACTCGAGTTCTCATCTAAATTGAGGGCGGAAGTGAGGAATAAGACCAAGCAGTGTTTATTTCTTCTTCTTTAGTTCTTCTGCCCTCTTAAAACCAGAGATGGCTCTTCTAGTGCCCCAGGATTGACAGTCTTAGCTTTTTCCTTTGCTTATCTGCAAGCATCGGCATCTGAGTCATTAAGCTAATAACCATGCTTCTTTTCCAGATCCCTTAAAAAGGAAGAGAAACCTCTCTCGAAGGTAGTAGCACTGGCAATTCTACATACAGTGAACTAAAAAGACTGTCCCTACATCCAAACAATAACCTCTTTCTAATTATTTTTGGAAACCAATTTCTCCAGTTGGGAGCAATGGTATCCTATTAGTGTCAATGAGTCTGCTTGTTTGAAATATAAAAAAGGTCCTGGGTGCTGGCCAGGGCTGCACAGAGTTTTTCAGGCTCTTCTTCAGTTTGAGACAATTTCAAATTAAGGATTTGCTGTTTGTTTTCTGTTTCTTTTTAACTTGCTCCTGGGCTTATGCTTTTTCAGACTTGTAGTTATGTTTTGAGCAAACTCAGTAAGAAGTAAGTTAATCAGGTGAATAGATCGGAGTCTCATATCATGCATCTAAGGTTTGGGTGTTTTTAGAAGATGTAAGCTAATCTTAGTAGTTATTTATAGTAAACTGATGTAAAAGTTTGGAAATTAGTCATTTGAACCATGTCAGAGCTATTCCAGCCTTTCTGTTCTAGGTCAGATCTTATCAGGTTTATTCTAATTTATCTGCATTTTCAATAAGTAGTTTTCATGGTTACTCAACAGTGTTGTACCATCTTTTCTTGGTTACGAGCTTTTCCATGCTGGCACAGCTGTGGGAAAGAAACAAAGAATCTGGGATTGAGATTGGACTGTAGCCTGTGCTCTGATTTTGATATGCTCTGTCTCTGTTTGATCTTCTGCAGCTTGGTTTTAGCCTTTTGTTCCTACTACCTCTGCTCATAGCTCTTCTAAACTCTCACTACTCCTTGGGTTAGCTATCTTAACATTTTTAGCCTAAATTTATTTACACTCAATATGAATAGTTGATGTCCATTTGGCCTTGTACCAGCATTGTCCTAGGGTATAAATAGCTCTTCTTCATGGATTCATTTATGAAAATCATGCCTGCTCTCAGTCCTTGTTTATCACAGCTCAGGAAGTAAAACTCTATTTAGTCTAATCTTCTAAGATGGGCTTTCCATTCCCCGATGTGCCTCACAGCACCTTCTTTGTATCCGCTCCTGTCTGAACGTTTCTCCTTCCAGCGAAGTTTTCAGAAAGATTTGTGTCTTGGTTATAGACATAACATAGACACTTTTCAGAAGTCTTGCAAAATAACCATTGCAGAGCTGGAAACAGCCAAACCTATCTTTGTCTCCTTTGTTTTGATCGTTTGGACTTACTTCTTATGATTTAATTGCCAGTGTTCTACATTCTGCAACTGGGCAGACTTTGCTTCTCACCTTTTTTACCTGCACCAGGGGACCAGGTGTTTTGACAGCATGTATTAACTGATGTTGTCTTTCTTTTCCAGGGAGGTTCAGCTTTTTCTCCAGCATCCATTATTACTAAGAAGAGAGCACAGACCCAAGCAGCAGTCCTGGCTGAAGATGTGGGATGTCCTTCATCCACCAGTGAGGAAATTGTAGCCTGCCTCCGGCAGTTGCCTGCTCATGTCCTCAATGATGCACAGACTAAGGTACACCATAGTAAAATATATGCCACTGGCAAGGAATCAAAAAGTTGCCATTGACATGAAGCTGTGAGGAAGCTTAAAAAATAAATTGGACTGAATCCTTGTGAAAGAGGAACTGGACTAGCTTTGGTAGAGTGATGCTGATGTCCATGACATCCAGCTCTGACTATGAATACTCACAGCTTGGTTCTCCTTTAGACTAACTTCCTTTTATACTACTTTGACCATGTCTTCCACAATTAATCTATATACAGTTTTTGCCTTTTTTCAGTCCCCTTTCATCTGCCCCTAAGTGTTACTCTAGAGAAGGATCAAGTGTCTGTAGCTTTACTAACTGAATTTTTGCAGAAAAGGAAGTGGGGAGGGATATTAGTGCTCTGTCTCGTAAGTGGGAGACTTGTGAAAGCTGCAGTATAAATGATTCTAGAGATAGATCCTTTACCCACAGATTAAAACACCCACTGCCAATACATTTTCCAATCAGGACCAGCATAGAGCGAATCCCTAGTTTAAAACAATATTTTTATGACTGTAAGACCATCAATTCTGTTGGCCTGTTCAACTCATTTCACCTACTGAGACTGTCAGCAAAAGCATTGCTTCTTGCCAATGGTGAGTTTGCACTTCCATTAAGTGATCACTTGTTCACTTGAAGGTTATCAGCTCAATTTTCTGAAACATAAGTAAAATGGAAATGACATGGGTAAGCTAATTTAATTGCACTATTATTGCTTTTTTTCTAACCTAGCTCCTAGCTATAAGTGGCCCATTCCAGTACTGGGGTCCAGTGATGGATGGAATTTACCTTCGGGAACCTTTAGCTAAAGCCCTGCAGCGCCCTCAACTTCGGAAAGTAGATCTGCTCATTGGAAGTGCTCAGCAAGATGGGTTGATCAGCAGAGCTAAAGCAATTAAGGTAGGAATCATAGAATCATAGAATCTTTGGGTTGGAAGGGACCTTCAAAGGTCATCTAGTCCATCCCCCCTGCAGTGAGCAGGGACATCTTCAACTCGATCAGGTTGCTCAGAGCCCCATCCAACCTGACCTGGAATGTTTCCAGGGATGGGGCACCTACCACCTCTCTGGGCAACCTGGGCAACCCAGGAGGTTTCACCAACCTCATTGTGAAAAATTTCTTCCTTCTCTCTAGTCTAAATCTACCCTTTTTTAGTTTAGAACCATTATATATTCATCTCTGCTCAGACACTGTAGAGGCTTGGGTAACAGCTTGACCTATCCTTTTTTAATTGTTAATTTATAACATCTCAGTTCCCAACACAAGCCAAGGCAGGCCTGGACACTTCTTTGTTCTGCCTTGTTCTTTCTTTTTTTTTCCCCTTTCTTTACACTGTTGTGCTCACAACTCCAACAATGGAGTTGTAGATTGACCCTCTTTCCCCTCTTGCCCTGATGTGTCTTCAGATGCTTCCTTTGATGCATTTAGACTGAAAATGCCAAATCTCTGTTCCCCAGCAAGGGCTCACCATTTTTTCAGTGTTGCTCTGCTAGTAGGTTAAGAGGAACATTAGTAGTTCCTTTGCAACAGTTTAAAACATATTAGGCTAATGATTATTTGGAAACAAATATCACAGAATCACAGAATCACTAGGTTGGAAAGGACCTTCAAGATCGTCAAGTCCAACCATTAATCCAGCGCCACCATGTCCCCTAAACCATGTCCTGAAGCACCACATCCACACATTTCTTGAACACTTCCAGAGATGGTGACTCCACCACCTCCCTGGGCAGCCTGTTCCAATGCCTGACCAATATTTCATTGTATTGAGAAAAGAGGACTTCCACAAGAATGGAAGAGACTCATTGTTAAGGAACTGATGGTATTATTATCACTAGAGTGATGATAGTAATCATACACAGCTAGGACAGATCCTTTTTGATTTCTACAATGTGTGAACTATACTCCATGCAAATATGCAAAGGCATTGTCCATCTCCAGTCCTGTTTAGGCTGATTAGTGGCAGTATTATATTTGTTGATCAACATGGCGGGGAGAGATATGAAAAGGTAAAAGATCAGTAATGGTTTAGCATGTATTAATATACAGCAGTATGTTTTACTGTCTCTGAAATCCTATTTATATGGCAATCTCAGTTGTGTATCACAAAGAAGAAAGCAAGCTCATAACTTAGTTATGAGGTTCTTCACTGTGCAGCAGAGCTAAGTCAGTCTTTTCCATGACAACTTTTTTGTTTTTGCAATCTTTTTTTCTCTGTTACCTTTAGTAAGTGCATTTTCTTGTAAAGATGATTCTGAATATGGACAAACTATGACTAAGAATAGCACTGGCCTGATCTGTGGGCTGGGGTTTCAGGGTAAAATGAAAAAGAATTGCCTTCAGAATCTTTTTCTGAACCTTCTGGCATTGTTGGTTCTTGAGACACATTATCAACCTCTTCTAGTTCATTTGTCCTTCTCTACGATGGGAACAATAGCACTTCCCTGTTTAATACTGCCAAATTGCATTAAATGCTCCAACACACTCACACATATACTAAGAAATCAACAGGAGAAATTAACACGCAAGGGATTATTTTGAGGGTTATTTACGTGAACTGTGGGTCTGCTGCTATATTTTTGTAACTGTATGGATTTCATCTCTTAGGGGCAGTGAGAAGTTAATCCCAGCTTCTATTTGCCGGTAGCCAGTAACAACACATAGACCAATTTACTTCAGAATTAATGACAAAATTATCCCTTTGAAAGAAGGCTTTTTGACCCACCTGAACAAAGTTCATATTGCTTGTTTAGTCTCCATCAGAAGTTTCCTGCTCTTATTTCATGTATCTTTCTCTTCTGGAATCAATTAAAGGAGGAAGTCAGACATAGGAAATGGACTGTGGTGCTGGAGGCCTGCAGATAGTGATCCAGACCCAGTGAAAGGGGAATAAACCTCAGTAACCTCATTACAAGTCGCGTGATGAAGACTAGGAAGTGAAGTTCTTTCCTTTACCGCTATTTCCACATGTGACAGTTGTCTGCAAAACCAAAATGGAATTCCATGATGTATCAGAAATTATGCAACAAATTGTGGTGTTAATGAAAGCCACAAGTGCTAAAAGCCAGCACTGTGAGGTTGAAATGAAAAGGAAAAATACTTGTAACTGAGAGAACAGCAGTAAAATGTTGCCTTTCCAAAAAGAAAATCTGGAATATCTTCTTTATTTAAAAGCGTCCAGAAAATAAGATTGGAAGGGAGCTCAGAAAGCAACTCGATCCTAAGAAATGGTCACATCTACCCCAACCTGAGACACCTGTTTTAAAATCTCATACTGTTGGAGATCTTCTGATCTCCTTTGTCAAGGGTTTGACTATCCTTACTTAGAAGGATAGTTAACTTCTTTACTAGCTATTGTAATAGAAGCTACCTTAGTGCTACTGCTGTAAGTCAGACTCCCTCTCTGTTCCAGAAAATTCATATTGTTCATGGTAGGTGCTTATATTTGGTTTTCTCCCTTTTGACTTAAGCTGTTTTCATGTTCTGAGTAAGAACTGATGATTTTTTAATGCACATTTTCCTCTCTTTCTATTTTTCTGTGTCTTCAGGTTTATAGGGCTTGAGGGAATATGACTGCTTTGACCAGCCTGTATTCCTGTCTTCAGATTGTTTTCTTAAAGACTTACTGCAAGGTTAAAGTTTCCTGATTTCTTCCTCGTCCACACAGTTAGTGTATTCATTTCTGGGAAACTGTAATGCTTCCTCCATCACTGAACTACTTAAAAACATGCATTTCGCAGGTCCTCAAAAACATTTCTACATCATAGCCATGACCATGCATGGTTGCAGTCAAAGTCAGATGACAAAGTCCTGAGTAGACCACAGATGTATTTAGCTACAGTGGCAGAAACTGGTGCGGGTCGTGGTTCTTACCAAAAAGTCTGGGCACCCTTTCCTATGTCATAATGTCATAAGAGGTCTTTGATCTGTGCTAACTGTCCTCTCTCCATAATAGGCCTAGAAGAAGGATTTGAGACAACCCATGCTGTATCCCACTCTTCTACTTTATTCATTTTAAGGGTTCCCTTGAGGTAGTTCTGACTTGCATCTTTCTGGGAAAACCCAAAGCTGGTTTTACTGAAATACTAGGGAAGGTGGGAGGGCTTAGCTGGCAGGCAGAGCACTGGACTAAACTTGGGGAACCAAGGCATAGTCCCTAGTTTGCCTCTGACTACAACCAAGTTATTTAATCTGTTCTACAAAGAAGGGACCAAACCTCTCTGGGGTGAAAATCCATCTGTGCATGTGCTCCAACTCTGTAGAGAGAAGAACCATGCATGTATTTGGGTAGATAAATAGCACTAAAATGCTGTGGCAAGTGTATGGAATTTGCAAAGTCCTTCATTTCCATCTCCTTTAGGATGACTGATTTCAGCGTAGTCAGATACAAAGAGTGGGGGATAGAAAAATTTAACCTCTCCTGATCTGTTCCACCTGTTCCTGGGAACAGCTGTACTGGCAAATTAAGCCAAGGGCTTGCTCTATTAATCCTGGTCTTGCTCTATTAATACTGATCCTGTAAATGGTGAGGAGACACTTCTAACCATTTGGATGCAGGCAAGCTTGAGACATGATGCAAATCTTATCACCTTAGACTGGCGTTGCATGCAAGTTTTATAAACTCTTAGCAATCGAGTCCTAGAAGTGAACGTAAAACCTCTAGACTGCAACCAGACCTGAAGGTGATGGGCACCATGCTGTTCTGTGGGGGCTTACTGGAATTTGGTTGTGTTGGCTGTCTCTGTACTCCCACTGCAACACTGTGCTTATGCCTGTTAAGACCTTTACTATTAAAAATTAAATAGTAAGACAAAAGGCACCACTTGTGTGCTAGAAAAACATTTATGTTTGATTTGTTGACAATTAAAGGCTGAGGTCTTTCAGTGATGCTTGCAGCAGAGAGTATGCTGAATATTCGTGCTCAGTGTCTTGCCCATGGAAACGACCGTTTTACGGCATTCACTTGAATGCTTATTCATGTGAACTGAGACAGATTTACCACTTCCTGGAGCACTTCGTACTCATCCGCAATGCAGCCATCAGATGGTTGAACCTAAGTGAGAAACAAAGCAGAGTTTGTTAAGGGAATGGCGAGTGGTGCCATAATGCACTATTATGTGCCATATGGAGCGGTTAAGCCTGAACCTGTTAACTGCAATTCCCATGGCAGACCTTCAGGGATATTAAGTTTGAGCAGTCATAGATTAGGGCAGATGAGCAGAAACACCTAAAAATGTTGATTTCAATTCCCAATTGGGCAAAATTTTATCCCTGTGCTATATGTGATGCTCAGGTGGAAGGATCTAATGGTTCCAACTGGCATTAAATATACTGAGTCACTCATGCTGTGTTTGGCTGTATATGCATGTAAGTCAGTATGGCACTGTTTATCTCCTCGATACTTCTGTGCCTACTATATAATCTCCACTCGGCAAGGAATGTTAACTCTCTTTTTAGTTGGAAGCCTGTGCACTTTGTGTGTTTTCTTTCTTTATCTTTCCCTCCTTAGTGCAAATCTAGTTGGCCGCAGAATCCAGAACCAGGACATAGGGGAGTGGATAGATAGAAATATAGCTTATTTACCCCATGTAAGCAACTGGATCTATGCAGACCAAATCTTCCATCCTGCACTGTATGAATATTTATTTCTTTATTGATAAAGGTATTCAGCAACATGCAACAGATGGCAGATATGTGTATAACAATTGTAATGACCAGGGGAGCAGTGTCCTGATAAATGTCATCAGTGAGGAGAATGGGCTGATATCAGCTCTGATATTTGCTTCACCTTGTAACTAGCTGGAATCCTTGAAACACTCTGCTGAATATCTGGCCAGTCTTTCACCATCTTTTGTGACAACGTTTAACAAAAGCCATTTAAGACCTAAGATCTGTACATACTTTGTTAGTGTTACCACTATTCCAGTTTGTCAGAAAAGTACATCTTGCCCCTTGGGAGATGTAAATGTTTGGTCTACTAACTGCTACAATTTCATTTTAAATAAAACACTGGACCAGATTCATTCATATGCTCCAGAAGCTATGCTGCAGGAACAAGAACAGCAAGCATTATACAACTCATTATTTAAACAATTTTTATGACCACTTTGCATCACCAGAACAGTAGAAAGCGGTGCACCTGCTATTTTTAATTATTTTCTTACTTACTTTCTAAAAATAGTTGAAAACCCCACTATAACTCTGAGGTCAGTTGCTAATACCTCTTTAAAGGTTAGCAGAATATAAATTATTTTACATAATGTGCAGCTGTTTCTATTATTCTGGTAGCAGCTGTTGTATCTACTGCTATTTGAAAATTGTTCTTTGGTCTTATATTTTCTAACGGGAAACATTTGTTGGACGTGCAAAGCTGGTCAAATTGAATTAATTTCAAAAAGTTAAAATGCTTTGTCTTTTTAATGTTTCATGGGTTTTACGTTGAATGTATTGCTTTGTTTTGTGCTATCATGTTAAAGTCAGATGTTTAAATTTTATTATGTTTTAGCCAAAGAGACCCTTGAGACATCGTGTTTCAGATTGTGCTATTTTAGTGCTGTTTGGGATGAAAAAAATCTCAAAATGTCTTACAAATGCCAGTTCTGTTTCTCATCCATCTCTGCCTGTTGAGTCCTCTTTTACCTGACTCAACACATCTCAATGACCCCACTCTGTCACCAAGGATTGCTGAGAAAGGTCACCAAAATTTTGGGGGCATTCTGAAGATCACAGAAACTAGTCCATAGGTGCAGTTAAAACCTAAGACCGACCGCACTGAGTCAGGTCAAAGGCCCATTTAACACAGAATGCTGTTTTCAGCTGTGGCTAAGAGTATGTTTGTAAGAATAGGGTACAAACAATAGGTTTGTAAGGTTTGTAAGAATATGTTTGTAAGAATAAGTAAATCTGATACCTCTGCTAAATGCTCTCCAAACCTCTAGCACTTTGCAGCTCAGAGACTTCCTAGCCTGAACTGATCTTTCTGTAATTAATAACCATCAACCGATTTTTTTTGTTTTTTTATTCAAAAATTTGTTCATGAAACTTCATCTTCACCAATTTTGGCATCTGCAAAACCATGTGGCAAGGAGCTCCTCAGCTTTACCATGTGTTGTATGATGATCCATCTCCTTCTTTGTGGTTTCAACTATGTTTATTTGATGCTTGGTAGTTGATAGAACAGCGAAGGATCGGTTTCTAGGGTACATAATCAATACTCTAAAGTTTTTTTCACTTTCTTTTTCTTTGTTTTAAGTTATCCATGACAAGTGTAGAATAAGGTAACAAATCCACTAAAAAAAACCCGACAAAGTGAAAGCGTTGCATGAAGGTTGCTTTACACGTAAGAGCTTGGGCTCTGCACTGACACAGAAAAGCATCTGTTCTTATCCATATCTGCTAGCCAAAGCCACCAGCTCCAGTCACCAAATGAGAGATTCCTAATCAGACAGCAGCAATGCTTCTGCTGGCTGGTAGGGAGCTGAACGGATCTGTGCCAAAGCCGATGGGAAGATTGCTTTTGAATTCAGTGAATCTGCAGTCAGGTCTTCAGTGATAATTTCTGTTTCTTGCAGAAAAATATATATGTCCTTGCTGTATTTGAACGGAATGATTTTGCAGGTGAATGTTCTATGCAGTGTCATGTGTGGCATTTGTGCACATGAAGTGACGTGTCGTGTGTGAGGTGCAGATCTTTTTCAAAGTACAGCTCCATTACTAAAACTGGCACCAAATGACTCTCTTAACATTGCATGGGCCAAAATCTAGCAAAAGAGGAATTTCTTACAAATAAAGGAAAATTGCCAAGTTCTTTTTGGACCTTAGGATATTTGGTAGTGTTTTGAAATCCCTTGAAAAGTCACTTAATCAAAATGCACAAGGCACTTATATCAGTAAGGACAGGCCTCGGCCTCAGCAGACAGGGACTTATTTTCATCTTTCATTTCTGTGAATCTGTTGAAAAGTAATTATTCCCTCTGTACTTTCTGTATAGGGTTGTGGAAAGACCTAGCTGCGTGATGAAAACCAGCTGCGGGCCATCAAAATAATATATTCAGTAAAGCATTTATGGTAACTGGACTGGGCAGACACCAGCCTATTTTGCATCAGACTGACTGCCCAAAATAATATGGGTGGTTTATTAGATCTTTCTCTCTGGAGTTCTTATACCAAGTTTCAGCCAACATGCACCTGCAAAGTGCCCTCTTTGGAAGGATTTGATCCACAATAAGGTTCAGCTCTCTTCTGAACTTGAAATAAATTATTAAAAAAAAAAAAAAAGTGAAAAGTCTGAATTGATAAAATAAAGAACTTCGTCAAAGAAAGATGTGGTGAAAACTTGCAGCAGTCTTTAGCATGGGTAAAAATAGGATCAGGTAAGCAATTTGGCATTGAAGATGGTCCCCCTGCTATTAGTAATTCTGCAGTGACATGGGCACTCTGCTCGGTGAAGATGCCTTTATGTCAGGAAAGGTTTCAGACCACATATCTCAGGAAAAGGGCATTTCAAGGTAGGTCTCACTGAAAGGCCCTAGGGGTTATGAAGTTTGAAAATCATGGCAGCTACTTTCATTGGGATTTGGAGGAGGGGGATTTCTCTTCCAGGGCTAAGGCAGATATTAGTCCAGAAGGGACCTAAATACAGGCCTTATGGCAGCCACATTTCTTTGCAGATATTTCCAGAAGAGGCAGAGTGATAAAGCCATGAAATGGCTCTATGGTGTGTTCACTTTCTGGACTTTCCAAAGGAAAGGAGCAATATCTCCCTCTCTCCCTGTTAGTTTTCCTGCAGGGAGCTCATCAGAAAGACAGCATTTGGCACACTCACGCTGGAGAACTATCCATGTGGACTACTTCTGTGGGAGCCAGATGGGCTTCTGTAGTATTAGAGCTACATCTGCACAGCATTTTACCTATGATTTGGGCTTACTAGCTTAGGAATTAAGTCCTACCGTATGTTATGAGGAAACAAATACAGCTGGCTGGTGTCACCAGTGTTGGGAAAGCAAAAGTAGGACTGTCCCCTACTTCTTCCCCTAGGAATCAGAGATCACAGCAGAGCGGACTTGTTCCAGCAGAGGGAGATCTGAGGCTGTATTGTTCCATTAAACACTTATCTTTTGTTTGTAAATTCCATGTATGCATTTTGTTCTCAGAAATTTGAAGAAAGTCAAGGAAGAGCCAACAGCAAAACAGCCTTTTATCAGGCTCTGCAAAATTCTCTAGGAGGAGAAGACTCCAACTCCTTCATTGAAGATGCAGCTACGTGGTATTACTCCCTCGAACATTCAACTGATGATTATTCATCCTTTTCCAGGGCTTTGGAAAATGCCACCCGGTAAGAAACTCATCCTATTACAACTGTGTAATTGGGGTTAAGCAAGGTTTGTTTTGCTTATCTCAAGTGTGCATTTATATTCTGAAAAACTTGAGAAATTCTTACACAAATGAACAGAAAATGGGGAATATGATTTCATTTTCCATGAGGTTTCCAATGTCATTGGTAAACAGAAATTGAACCGACTTTTGTCAGTTTGAATTGTCTTTCTTGATCTGTATATTGGATTCAGACTACTAATGCTTCTTTGTGTATGCTTTCATGACAAAGATGTCTTGCTCGTTTAACACACTCTGCATCAACTATTTCTTGAGTCTTCTCATCCCTGTGGCAGTAGAACTAATAGGCTGGCTTTTATGCACAAACAGTCACATGATTATACAGTTAGATACTTCCTCTAGTTTTTGCAGGCTTGGAGAGTGGTCAAGTTTGAAAACTTTGATTTCAGCAATTACATTATTTTTTATATTTTGAAACCTGCAAAATATATTTCTTCACAATGTCAGGCTTTCTACAGTTGAGTATCCTGTATAAAACGGTGAAGCATTTGTGAATGTTCAGAAAAGCGGCTCCTCAACCCCATTCTGTGCATTGCTAATCTCCATTTTACCTATGGCAGAAGAATCCACTTAAGCTTTTTCATGTACCTCCCTGACCCGTGTGTAATCATTTATGCCAGTGTACAGTGATTGTATAATGTCACCCAATCCGCATTTTGCTCCCTTTGTGTATGGTTTCCCATGGTAAAAGAAAGCAGAATCAGGCATTAAGATGCTTCTGCATGAAGTCTTCTTGCGGAGGTGAAAGGAGAACACATGATACCTGACTCTTGCCTTGTTTGATCCATCAGGACACGTGGTAGACTCACAGTGCCTCCCAGCCTCTTCAGGAAATAGTGATGAAATGTTAGCAGATGTATGAGCAACTTAACTTACCTCCAGCATATATGCTCCCGTACTTTGCATTGAAACATTGCAGGCAGGGACCATTGGGAAGAGGATGATGAGCAGTGGGCCATGTTCACACCACCTAGTATCTGTGCGTAGCTTCAACCCTTAATGGGTATAGCATCAGGGTCCAGCAGTTCTGCATAACAGTTTGAAGAGTTCATTGCTCTATTGAACTAGGTCTCCACAGCAGTCATGACACCTATGGTAAGCCATAGAGACTGGTGGCTACCTTTAGCTTGGGTCATGTGGTGGTTTTGTCTGCAAAGAAAACTGTAAATTTTGCTCTCTCCCTCATGGGCAGCCAACTTGCTTTAGCCAATTACAGATCTTGAGCTGTGGCAGGATGTCCTGTTTTTCTGAAAGGAGGCAAAGTGAGGGGGATTCTCTTTACCTCCTTTTTCTGCCTCTGTGAATACTCGGGGGCTGAACGTTTAAGTGGAACAGTTTTTCAAAAAACAAATCACAAAACTCTT